TACTTAATTTGTTACAAAACAACAAGCAAAATATAGACTTAAAAGGAATATCAATATAAAACTTTTCCCAACTCTTTTTTTTTTTTTTTTTTGCTGGGGGTAACTTAGTACTGGCATTAAACTAATATTATATATCTAGAAAGAGGCTTCTTTTAAATCAACTATTTTTTAAACAAATGCCAAGTTAACTGTTTAACCCCAAACAGAAAGAGACATCGAAATCCCAAATCTTTTTTAATGAAGCTGTTATTCGAGACCTACTTACAACACAGTCTGGAATATGGATCCATAAGATGCCTTCTGGTATATTTTATTTAAATAGTCAAATATTCCATTATTAAAGGAGTTGAAATAAGGCTTCAGCCTACCTGCCCAGGATCTGTAGAGGGGCTTGGTTATTTCAGTAAACTACTATGTTTTTGGTTGTCTCCTGGTAATGGAGACTGTTTACTTTGTCTACTGAAAAATAATGATTTATTTTGGAAAACAGTTGTATAAAAATTCTATCCAAAAATTTGGAATTGTTTTTTCCTTAAAAATAAAAATAATTCAAGATGGCAGTGATACATTTTCATATTTTTCATTAAACACCAGTGGTGTCTTTAAAGTGCCAAATTCTTTATGATTTGTCTTGTAAATTCTTCTCTCTCTCTCTCTCTCACACACACAGACACACACGCGCACACACACACACACACACACACACACACACACACACAAAACCACACTGCCTCCACGATTCTACAATTCATAAAAACGTCACAAAAGCAAATGATATTTTCACGGCATAGTGGAAAGAACACTGGCCTAAGGGTTTGGAGCCCTGAACTTTCACCATGACTCTGTTGGTAGCTAAATGTATGATCTTGGCCAATTCATTTAACACCCTATACCTCAGTTTCCCCACCCATAAAGTGAGAATGTCAAGCTAAATACTCTCTAAAGCTTTAAAGTTGCCAACCTATAAACTTCAATTTGGATAGCAGTCGAAGGGGAAGGAAGATTTTTGGTGGAAATTATTCACATGCAAAACAGGATTCTACTTGGTAACTACCTGGGGGGAGCAACTGTGTGGTCACAGGGACAGATCAACTGACGGAGGCCATCTTGCCTGGAGTTCTTGTGAATCCAGGTGACAAGAAGATTAAAAGGTGTGTGTGGCAAGGGAGGCAGCAACCCCTTGACGACAGAAGTCAAGCCTCTGTTCCCAAGTACTCCTCACTCTGCTGCTTCTTTCAAACCGTGTCCAGATGTTTCCGTGCCCTGCCAGTGACAACCTGCCCTCCAGGGCCTTGCAGAGCCAGCAGGAACCCTGGCCCTTCTTTCCCGCTCTGCTCGCCAATTGTTGACTGGCTGTGTGGCTGGCACTGCACTCCTCTGAGGTGGATGAGAGACAGTGTCTCTGCCCAATCGTGACCTTGTTAGACACAACTTTCCTCACCATCCTGGCTATATAGCTTCATTACTTTCTATTCCCTGACCCGCATTATTGTTCTTTAAAAGATAGATCACCACTCGACTGAGATTTTTCTCTGTATGTGTCGGCTGCCTCCACTACAGTCTACATTCCTGGAGAGTTTTAATCCCTGTTTTATCCTCAGTACACAGTGCAGAGCCTTGCAGTATAATAGATGCATCATAATTATTTGTTGAATTAATGAAATATGCATGACGGTAAATCTGGTCCGCGTTCTAATTTTCTGACCAATCTGTCCCAGTATGCCCATTCCCCAAAGTAAAATTCAATCAATGTGTATCCAGCTAAGGGAACAGCCTTAAAAATTCTTCCTGTGACTTGTGGCAAGGAGGTGCTTTGGCCCCATTTTCTAGATAAGGAAACAGATTCAAGAAGTGCCTTGCTGTAAGTCACACAGCTACTAGGTAGCAGAGCTGAGAATGAACGCAGGCTTTGTGACTCCAAATCCACCATTCATTCCCTATTTCCCACCTTCATGTACCACGTCTGTCTTCTCTGTCTCCCCTTCTGTAATAGCACCATGTGCATTGCATCAGGTATCCATAAATGAAATTAACTGGATTCAACTGAAGCCAGCCTAAAACTAAGATGCAGTTTTTGAAACCAGGTCATCTCTTAAAGCAGCAAACAGTATCATGTGCTTTTTAACACTGATAATATCAGTGTGGGAAGCAGAGGCGGGGGTAGGGTGTTGTTTAATATTGCAGGTTAACCTGCCAGTGACAAAAGAGTAGCTTGGCTCCAGCCAATATTGGTTCTCCCAATGTGATGCTCAGAGCCTTCCCAGGAGTTGTACTTGGAAAAGAGAAGAGAAGAGAAGAGAATATAATATGGAAGGACTTATAAAGAGAGCAACAAGATTGGGATTTTGTAATCACATAAAGTTGTGCAAATTATGCACAAAATAAGGGGCTTTTGTGAAGAAATCCAGATTTCCCTGGCTTCCTGCACCAAATACAGCCTGAGTGCTGAGATCCATAGGTATTTTGAGATATAGACAAATCTTATATTTGAGGGAGAATATATGCAGGTGTATAAAATCACACCCTAGAATCACTCAGACCTGATCTTTTCCAGGGAGTTCAAACTGGAAATGGACATCCTGGATTTCTGTCCTCAGATTAGATCCGGTCTATAGAGTCTTCAACCTCGATCAGTGCAGGGCTGGATTTAGTGCACATACAAATAAGTGTTCTTGTAAACACATAGGAGCATAATATTTTAGGCAATGAGAAGATTGGGAAGATATTATTGTAGAGGTAACCTAGTTCCACTGTTTCATTTTTGTGAAGATTGTGAAATTCAAACAGGCTTAATGGATGGTGCACTCTCATCAAGAGAGCAGAAGAACCCTGGACTCTCTCCTGGTCCACTGTCCTCCCCAAGGGCAGTATTTGAACTATTGTGGGAATGGGATCTGGCAACCCCAAGATCCAGAGGTCACATGTGAACAGAAAACTGTGGCTTTCACATAACTTAAACACCAAAGTATACACTAAAGTCTCAATCCTGCAGAAGGCTTGGAGACTGAAGATAGCTCTGTGGGGACTCTGCCTAGACAGGCAACTTGGGTGAATGACAGGGTGCTGGTGGGGGGGAGTTTGGAAGAGCTCATGGCTCCTACCACCTACACAAAAAGAAAGGACTTTCATTCCCATCCTTGGCCTGAAGTGCCAGGTCCCTGCTCTAAGCCCTCTTTTGAGGCCTGCCATGCCAATCCCTGCTTGTATCTAAAGAGGTTAACACATCCTGGGTACACAGACTACAGCTTCCTCCTTTTGCTCAGGGCCTGTGTGTAGATTTTGAGCAGTGTGGAGATATTTCTTCACTTTTCCTTAGGGTGTCCACATTAAGACCCTGAGGCCATCTGACCACCCTTCTGGGTCAGAAAGGACTTCAGAGTAAGTGGTGACTGACTGGATTGGGAGGGAGTTTTCTAGAGGGGAGCATCCCATTACTATACAGAGGTACTTGCATGCAGACATCAACAGGAAGCAGAGAAACAGGCACAAAATGGCCCAATGACCCCCACTCTCGGGTCTTTGAAGAATCCTCTCTCACCTACTTCTCACCTACTCACTTTGGGTTTGAGGAACCCAGGCTCTTGTAGGCTTCCTTTAACCCATTACAATCAGTTATCTCATCTCCAGATTTTCAAGTTCCTTCGGTTGTGTCTTTTACCTAAGTCAGCAGATTTCAAACTTTCATAAAAAAAAATTAGAAAATAAAAACCACGACCCCACCCAGAAGATAAAAATCTCTCGAATTCTCTGAGCCCAGCATCTTAACCTCCTTTAGCTAAGCCCTGAGCAGGGAGTCGATTCCTTCGGGTTCTGGGGAATGGCGGGCTTTGCCAGTCCCCACCTCGCCAGCCTAATAGCTTTTCCAGACAGACTCCTGCTTGGTGTTGCGCGGCAGCCTCGAAGCTAACCCCTGGTCCCATTCATTTCCCTAGGTCCTCTAAGGCCTGTCACCTTAGGGGGTGTCCCTCCTCTCTGCTCCTGGCCCCACTTGGCAAACCCTTTCAGGGGCAGCAGTCAACCTTTCTGAAGTGTGACGCGAACCCAGACCCTCACCCTTCCGCCTGGGCTGCACTTTGCAAACTAGACCCAGGCGTGGCGGCGGCGGCGGCGGCTGGGGTGGGGTGGGATTAGCCCGGCGGGCGCTAGGCGCGGGCTCACAGCCGGCCCCTGCAGCAGCAGGGCGGCTCCGAAGGACTCGGGACCCTCTCGGAGGCGACAGCTCCAGGAGCCCAAGTCCTGGAACCGGCGCAAGCCTGGGCGAGAAGGGCCGGGGCGCAAGGCGCGAGGGAGCTGCGGGGACCGGGCTGGGGAAGGTTCCCCGCCGGAGAGGCGGCGAGGCCGGCCCAGGAGTCCCCAGGAGCCGGCGACTCTCCAGCGGCGAGAACCGGGCGACTGAGTGCCGAGAGGAAGGGAAATCAGCCGGCGCTGACATGTAAACAGGGGCTTCCATCTGGAGGAACCCGCTCAGACAGAGCCCCCGACACACTCACTTTCACCGCTACCCTCCAGCAACGAGGCCACTTACCCGCCCCAGGGCCCACCAGACAGGGACCCGAGAGGGGGTGGCTGCAGCCCCGGACCCCGCCGCATTCGGCCTCTTCGAAGAGGAAGCCCCTTGCCCAGCGCTGGGCCAGGGCGCCCCGGGTGCCGGCGGGAGTGGTGGACCCCGAGGTCTCCCGCCCTTGACTCCAGTCCGCACTCTGGGTCCCCAGGTTTCCCGCCGCCCCCTCCTGCAGCCCGGCGGGCAGCGGTGTGGGAGGGGGCCGGGCTCCACTTTGGGGCAGGGATTTCGGGGGAGGTCGCGCTCGATGCGGCGCCTAGCCGGCTGGCCCGCGAGTAGGACTCTCCACCCGAGCGCCAGGGGAGCCGGCGCGAAGCCGGGGCACGGAAGGAAGGGAGAGCGGCCACGTCTTCCGGGACGCGGGCCCGGCACCTACCCGCCAGCCGCTTCGCCGCCCTGGCCGGCCCCCACCACCCGCGCCCACTGCCCCGCCGCTTACCTTAATAGTCCCGTCCATTTGGCCAAGTCTGCAGCCGAGCCCCCCAATATTCCACACATTGACCCGGTTACAGCCTGACCTCGCAGCCCCTTCGGATTAGCCCAGCGCGGCCTCCCTGGCGCCCTGGGCCCTCCCTGCGTGCCCCCTGCGAGCGCCCTGCCCTCGCTCCCCGGTGCACGTTTGTTGTTGTAGCGGAGCGAAAGAGACAGTTAACCGGATGAAACTTTTTTTCAGCTAATTTTGGGAAGTGACTTCACTTTGCGAATCGGGGAGGAAGTCCTATCTCTCTCTCTCTCTCCTCTCTCTCTCTCTCTCGCTCGAGCTCTCCTCTCTCTTCTCTCCTCTCTGCTCTCTGCTCTCCCTCGTCTTCCCTCCCCTCACACCCCCTCTTCCTCCCCTCGGCTGGTCCTGCTTTTCGCATCACACACTATATAAATATATGCGGAGATGCCCAGACACATTCTAGCGCTGCGCACACAGGATACTTGCTCCTGGGAGATAAGAGCTAGCCGGGAACAATGACGGGGTCCACGCCCAGCGTCCGCGCCCTGATTCCCGAAGTCTGCACCTCCCCCCATCACCTTCCCCCAAAATCCAAAGCCAAAGACCTTTGGCTTCTTTGCTTTTCCTGGGGCGGTTGGCCGAAGGTGGCCCTCCTGACTCATTCACTTTCCGTTTCTTCCCACAGATACGTTTATTAATGCTTTTTCCAGCCGGAGACAAACTTTTTGGGGGTGGGGTTGGGGGGAAAGGAGTGAGAGTTGACTAGGGCTGGGGTAACCCAGCGCCTACTGCAGGCGAAGATCCGGACGCAAACCGAGGCAAACCAACCATTAAAAAGTGCCTCCAATAAGAATTTTTCCACTCGGGCCCTCCGCTGTCGAGACGCGGCAGACTCCCAGAGCGGCTCACCCACTCATCGAAGCGGATTCTGAGCGGTTTCGGGCTGACCCGCGCTGTCGGGGCGCAGACTTCATTCCGGGCGCATTGTTAGGAGAAGGGCGCCCTCCGGGCGGCGCGCCTCGACCCCTGGGCTCCCGGTACCCGCAGAGAGCTGAGATCCACGGTGTCCTAGGCCACCTAACTCCATCTTCTCGAGCCAGACCCCCAGCGCTTACCGGGACGCGACGGCCCAAGCACTGACTCCCAGACAAGAGTCGCCCTTCCCGTCCCCCAAGGAACTGACACTAAGGCGGGACGTTCCCTCTACGACAGTTAGCAGGTCCCAGGAGCGCAGCACGCAACAGCGCGGCGCAGACCCAGACTTTTCCCGGGGTGAGACCCAGAGCTCTGCGCTCCGGACAGTCCTCCCTACCCAGCCTGGTGGCCGACGCTCCCCAGCCCACCCGGAGACCTCCCCACCTCCCTGCTGGGCCGCCGCTTGCCCCTGTTGGAGCAGCCTCAGGGGGCTGAGAGCTTTCGGTCCGACTCCCTTCTCCTGGACATCCAAAACAGATTACCTTGTCCACGCTCTCCAGACCACGCTTTGGACCTTCTCACTTTTATTTATGAGTCCGATGGGGGAAAGAGGAAAAAAAAATCCAGAGGAGATCCAAGTCAATTGGAAAGAAAAAATTTCAAAAGGGTGTCCACAGCAGCGAAAAAAAGGTGACTTATCAATTCTTTATTTCTTCAGGAGCAGTTGAGCCCGAGAGCTCACTCGCCTCCCTCCCTCCCCCTCCCCCTCTAGAAATTAGTCTCATCAATTCAGCTCCAATTTTGGGTTCGAATACAAACACGGGGTCTGAACGTGACCAGACCTGGAGTGGCGGGTGCAGCCTGCCAGCAATTGAGACTCGGTGAGCGTGTTGGGGGTGGGGGGGGGGTGGATGGTGGGATGGGGGCCGGGCTGACTCCCCCCGTTCCTGTCTGCTTCTCAATCCAGGGGTCTGCTCCGGGGCTCCCCTGGGACCGCCACATCTGGTTACCGCTAGCGGGGTCAGCCCCCCCCCTTTGCCTGGGGCCACCAGTTCTGGAGTTCAATTAAAAGAAATCAGGCTTAACCCTTTCCTTCCCGCGGCGGGCTGCCTGCCCTCTCACTCCTCCCTTCAGCGTTTCCACATGCTTTCCAGAGAGGAAAGAGGTTAACGGGAAAGGAAGAATGAATTACATCCTTTCAAACCCCAAATTGTTTCCTTTTCAGCCCAGGCTCTACCGACCTTCAAACTACAACAGAGCTTTCAGAAGAATGAGGGGAGATCGCTTCCCACCCGGACCTCACCAGAAATCCCGCACGCCCCAGCCCCTTACTCCTCTTTCAGCCAGAAAAGACTCCAGCTCCACCACCGAGAGGCCCCCTTCCTGGTGCTGGGCAGTTGAGAGGCTGTTCAAGGCATCTCTCAGGTGGCGACTGTCCCCCATCCTCCTCCTAGCCCTTTGGAAGGTACCTCTGTGTCAGACACCGTGGCTAGGTTTCTCTTTCCAACGCCTGTTACTCTGACACGTGACAAATCATCTTTGTGATATTAATCAGCTATCACCTCAATTAATCAGCTATACTGACCCCCAGTTCCTTTCAGTGTTAGTTGCCTTCCCCATTGGAAGTGTTCAATATGGAACTAGATTAAAATGAGGACTTGCCTTTTAGTTTCAACTGTGGAACTCGATAGCACTTTCTGTTTCTCCCTGTAAAACGAAAGCTGTGGCAATTTCATAGTTTTGGAGATGGGTAAGGGGTAGTGGAGAGGCTGGCATAGGCATCACTGCCTCTTTGTGACTCACCGACTGGCACGGGTGCCACTGTTGTTGGCTGTGTATCAGCCCCCGAGGGGAAGCTCCTGTCCATTCACAGAGGTCTCAACCCAGAAAAAGACCCCGTCTAACTCTGACTAGATCTCTGCAAGAATCTGACTTCCTCCATCCAGTATTGGCATGGTGGTGGGTCAGTTTGCCCCACTCTTATGTAAATCAGAGTTTTTGCTCAACTCCACTGTTGCAGCTGCTTTTTTAAATCCTAAAAGGGGGTGGGGGAAGCGCCCTAACCAAGCACAATAGTAAACAAATCTACCCTGTTTAATTGTGGTTACCACCAGACATCTGGAAAGATAGTTTGATCCTGGCAGCTCACATTGTTTTCACGAGCAGCCAAAGGGAATATTTCGAATGTTTGCATTGAGACAAATTGATAGAGAGTCTGCGGTGAGGGCTGCTACAAACGAAAACTGTCTTGTGTTAGTGGGGCAGACCTCCCCTTCCTTCCCTCTCCTCTGCCTCCTCTCCTATCTCCTCCCTCTCCTCTCCTCTCTCCTCCCTCTTTCCTTAGTCTCTGGGCCTAGCTTGGGGAAGGCTGCCCCTGCCCACACACTGTGCACACCCTCTTTCCTGGCTCATGATGGCTCCAGTGGCCTCGCCCTTTCCCAGACTGGGCAGAGCTGCTGACCAGGAGCTAGTATGGGTGCAGTCGGTGACAGCTCACATTCCACCAGCTCAGGGCTGGCTTTCAAGTCAGAGGAAGCTCACAGCCAGGGAAGCTCTTCCCAGTATTTAAAACAAAAGCTACCTACTGGAGATAAACATGTCCTAACAACAAAACAGCCCGCCACACATTTCCAAGTCTGGGGTCACTTACAGAAAGCATGCACATGGGCGTGAATACCCAGAAAATACTTGGATTTGGAGCATTTTCATTTGGAACGTTGGTGAGACGACTTGCCTCGCACCATTCGCACTTGACAGTATTTTCAAAGATGCGGAAGTCCTGCTTCCCCCGGGAGGGGAGCGGCGGGGCGAAACGTGTCTTGGCTCGCTCAATGTCAGCCCTTTTGACCCGGTCAAGACTTTCCAGACGCGGGCTTCCCGGGCTCCTTCGGCTTCAGCCTGGGTTTGGGATGGGCGGACCTGACGATCTGAACCTGATCCCTGAGGAACTGGACCCAGGGAGTCACTTGAAACTCCGCAGGATGCCAGGCCTGGCAAAAGGTCTCGGGCGGCTCCTCTCCCTCTGTCCGTCCTCCGTCCTACCCCGCTCCAGTCCAGCGCGGCCGCAGCGGGTATCCGAGCTGGCAAAGTGGGAGGAGGAGAGGGCTGGAGAAAGGGGAGGGGTGGGCAGGCAAGCGCCAAAACTCCAGACTGCACAACTGCAGCTTCAAGTGTCTGGCCTCTCGCTCGAGGCCATAATTAATTTGAGATTTATTTTTATTGGAGAACCCTAGTCTCGTCTGACCTTAGCCAAACAAGGCAGCTCGAGCCGCCCCTGGATGCGCTTGAATGCCGGGGAATATTTTTGCAGGAAGGCTCTGCAGGAGCGCCTGCTTTGAATTTGTTTCTCAGACTTCATCTACTCACAGAGTGAAGGAAGATTTAGAGCCTCTGCTCGCCCGGCCCGCTCCCCACGCTAGTTTTTGCCTTAGTGCTGAGCGGGTTCAAAAAGCTACGTGGGAGGCCGCAGAGGCGGGAGGGCTGGGGATGGGCGGGCTAGGGAGGAGGAGAGTCTCTGAGACCCCAGACCACGCGGCGTCGATGAGGAAACCCCGAGGGAGTCCAAGACTGACCAGAGAGAGCAGGCTGACAAGAGGTGGAGACCAGCCAGGTGTCCCGACCCTCGCCCAGTGGCGGCGCCAGGATGGGGGCGTTGGGATGGGGCCAAGGTGGGCTCAGCTTCTCCAATCTCCATCAACGCCCTCCTCCCAGCCACCCCAAACAGCATTCATTTTAAGAATAGATCAGAGTCCTTGAAACGCAGCTTCGGGACCTGCCAGAATAGATCCAGGGCGCCTCGCTGTGAATATTCTGGGGCTAGGAACCTCCTTTAGTTCAGGGGACAGACGGAAGACGGCATCTCCCTCAGAATGCAGCCTAAGCCCAATCCTCAGGCTGGTAGGTTAGAGAAAGGAGCCTGAGGGGAGGGGTACACAGAAATAGAGGAGGACCCTGCCAGTCCCACGAGGGTGGGGGGCGGAGGACCGGCGAGGAGCTTTCAGAGAGGTGCTCTGCGCTCTGGGAGAAAGTGCTTTGCACTCTGCTGGCACTGCGCAGGTGCGGTCAGGGTTACTCCACCGGGTCTTTGGGTCCCTTCACTCCCCCGTCCTTAAGCAAAATGTCACGAGTGGAAGTTCTGGTTTGGGGATCAGCGAGCCTAGGTTTGAATTCTAGCTCTGCACGGCAAGTGGTAAATCTCTGAGGACTTGAACAAGTTCCTTAACCCCCTTGTGCCTCACTGTCCTAATCTGTATAATGGGGTTATAATAGGACTTATCTCAAAGGGGCGTTGTAAAGACAAAATGAGCCTTTAGAACTTCCCTGGCAGCCAGCACAGCTTTGTTCATTGCTACATGTATCTCGGCTCTGCCCCTTACATCACATTAACCTCGTGTGCCTCAGTTTCTCGCCTGCAAAATGGACTACCTCCTAAGATTGCTGTTAATATTAAATGAGCTAATACAAATACAATGCTTAGAGCAGTGGCTGGCGAAAGTCAGAGCTGAGAGGTAGCTATTAACGTCGCTGCAGTTATTCATCTACTACTGCGTGTCAGTGTCTCCAGGAGTCA